CCCCCCCCCCCCCCCCCATCATAGACTAACAGCTCACAGGCGCCGCAAACAAGTCCCCGGACCTGTGTGACAAGAACCCAGACCAAGCCCGCAAGGTCAATGTCGACGCCACTCGCACATTGGCCAAAGAATGCCAAGCTCGCGGCGCCTTCCTCATCTACATCTCAACCGACTACGTCTTCCCCGGCGCTGAAGGCGATGCACCTTACGAGGCTGAGGCAGAGACCAAGCCACCGAACCTCTACGGGCAACTGAAGCGTGATGGCGAGGTAGCCGTACTAGAAGCAACCAAGGAGTCAGGCCTGGGCGTGGTGCTGCGCGTGCCGGTACTGTACGGTAACGCTAAGGAGAACTCGGAGAGCGCGATCAACACTCTCGTCGACGCGGTCCAGAAGGCCACCGATGAGAATGCCGGCGTGAAGATGGATGATTGGGCCATACGCTACCCAACCAACACCGAGGACGTTGCGCGCGTGTGTCGGGACATTGTCATCAAGTACCTTCGCGAGAAGGAGAAGCGCAAGGACTTCCCTCGTATTCTGCAATTCTCGTCCGAAGATCGGATGACCAAGTATGAGATCTGCCAGAAGTTGGCTAAGGTATTGGGCGTTGCCATTCCCGGAATGATCCCTAATAAGCAGGGTAATGATCCCAATGGGGGTGTTGTGCGGCCTTATGATACACATCTCTCCACCAAGGCACTGACTGATCTTGGGATTGATGTGCGGACGGTGGATTTCATTGTGTGGTGGTAAGTTCTCTTCATGTGGTGTGTATACCATGCTTGTAGGGCCATGCTAACAACTCGCAGGCGCCGGGAATTGGGTGCTTATAGGAAATAGGCTCGACCTACGGAGTAAAATGATTCACGTTGTAAGAATGATTCAAATATAGAGGGACCAAGGTCCAATTGAAAACCAGAAAGGAGATCTTAAGCCCACCAAGCATCATGGAGATCAAACTAAGTCGAGTCAGTAATAACCTTGAAATTACCTGGGATCACCTCACGGAACTTTCAGGTTGTATATTCTATGTATATCTATGTATATTCTATGTATATCTATGTATATTCTATGTATAGAACATCATCCGAATATCATCCGATCAATTTCCACCAGGCTTGAAGTTTCATGATATCCCCATTTTTGAAGAATAGCCAGTACACTTGGGAGTGAGACACTTAGATCCGATCGCCCTGTGGAGTCGTCGAGATCCTCCAATAATAGTCTCTCACCTTTTGTATCAAACAATCTAATGGCAATAAAGTCAATAGTACTCCGTACCTGTCGATCATATATATACAACATAATGTACGGAGTATACTTCCATCAGGTTGTACCCAAGTCAATATCCCCAGCGTCAGTCGCGTGAAACTGCATGCGGCGCGTCCGGAAATGTTCAGCCCCCACGAAATTACCTGCACTGGGGCAACTGGGAAATTGCGTTTCATCTTTTTTTACTCCGTACAACTCTCATTTCTCATTTTATTATATGCAAAGTACGGAGTACGAAGTACTTTCGGTGAGTTCAATCCACTTATATGATCCATCCAAGTGGTCTATTTTCAACACAAATTCCATGCCCCAGCCTAGGCCGGCCTAATTGACGATCGGTGCGGGTCGATTTTTGCCAAAGAGCTCGCGAATGGTCGATTAAGAACAAGCCGGTTTGATCGCGAGGGATTTGGGATTTCGTTTTAGATCCAACTGTCACTTTTTCCCACATTTTCCTTGTGTCTCCCAACTTCTGTGCGCCGAATTCTGTCAAGAGGCTGAGTCGCAGAGTAGTCGCAGCACTGCCCGATCTGAAGGAAATTACGGGAAATTGCCGTTTAGTGTCAAGGCGACGCTAACCCTATGCGATAGAACTCGAGACAGATTACGAAACTTTGGCGACTCGGACCCCCGGCAAATCTCAAGTGAGAAAACTCTAGCATGAGTGAGAACAGTGTGACAGCCACCGCGCAGTCCGTACCCCAAAAGCCCTCTCGATATCGTAGCATGCGAGGTGGGACAAACGCCGAAGTCGAAATGTCCGCACCACCTGCACCTGCGAACAGCGTTGGGGAGCAGAACCCCTCGATCGCGAGAAGCAGATCTCGATATCGTCGCAATCGGCCATCGTCAAATGGAAATATCGTACCTCCTACTCCCGCGATCCCAGGCCACGCGCGAACACAGCCACAGGCGCAGCGGAATGAACTACGTGAACGTGAACGGCCTACAACCAGTCGCACTTTGTCAACACAAGATGAGGAGGAAGCGCATACGCGCGAGGTGGACCGACAAGGTGCGATGGCACAATTGACTGGGGGGGATAACTCAGCGCAACACATTCGGCGGCCTAAGGTGTCCACGCCACCAAAACAGGTCGCGCAACAACCCCGATCGCAACCTGCGCCCGCGTATCCCCCGTACAGTTCCAACTCAGGAAATGATGGGAATCGCAAGTCTTTCTTTCAGAAGGTCAAACTTTCAAGATCCAAGGACGCCAAGAAAAACGAGCCCGTCCCGAATTACATCGGGGTGGGCGGAACAGGAGTGGTCCCAGGAGTTGATGCTCCTGTCAGCGCTGTTAACGCCGGGGAGCGACATGCCCTTGTAAAATACAGAGATGCCACCGCGGATCTCACTGTCACCCCGTCAACTCAAGTTCGGGACATATTGCTAGATGCCACCAAACACTTATCTCGGGACATTGATGCGGATAAATTCATTCTCATGGAGTCTTACTCTCAAGTTGGACTAGAGCGTCCTCTGCGCCGCTACGAACATGTCCGGGAAGTCATGAACTCCTGGTCACACGATGCAGACAACCAATTCATTGTTATTCCCCCCTCGAGCGTGGATGCTCTAACTCTGCTCGATGCTGGACATGCCCCGAGCGGACAACCGTCCCCAGTGACTGTCCATATTTACCATTCCCAGCGTCGTCGCAAGTGGGATAAGCGATATGTCACCTTGCGTGCAGACGGACAAGTAACAACCTCAAAAAAGGAAAACGCCGAGGAACAGACCAATATCTGCCATATATCCGACTATGACATCTACTTCCCCAGTGCTCGAGCGCTTAACAAAGATATCAAGCCGCCTAAGAAGCTATGTTTCGCAATTAAGAGCCAGCAGAAATCATCCATGTTTCTGTCCACCGAAAACTTCTTGCACTTTTTCTCCACCAGCGACAAGTCTATTGCAGATACATGGTACCGGGCAGTACAGAGGTGGAGAAGTTGGTATCTTGTCAATAAGAAGGGAGCATGCCAGAATCTAGAGACCGAGACACTCGTGAAGCGCGCTGGGACGAAGAAATCGACTCATCAGCCGAGAAACGTGCATAATGAAGTGCCACTCCTAGAACGTGAGACTTCAGCGGAATCTCCAAAACCTGAAAGCTCTGACCAACGGAGACCGGCAAGCTCCAAAGACGTCTTTTGCCGGAAGAAACCCCTTCGTGGACACGTGCCCCCTCCATCATCATATCCCCATACCCTGACGCTCGATACCGATACAGAAGGGCCTTTCGCCGACACCCAGGCATTACTCTCAGGTATTTCGCCCGAAGAAGTAGAAACTTCTACGTTCGCACCATCCGGACTCCTAGGCCGAACCTACACCCAGCGACAAACTGCTATGCGGGAACGGGATGATCGCGATAAGAAAGCTAAACAGGAAGCCTTTTCCGGCACTGGCTTCATGAACGGAGGCTCTATACACACCCCGGGCCATGACTCAAATCCCAACAGTCGGACCAACACAATGACTCGTGCTCCGGACGCATCAGCCTTCGCTCGAACCCCATCTCTCAATCAGAAACCTCTGGTTGACCTCACCCCAGTCTATGCGGAACCACCGCAGCATAGCCGTAAGGGCAAGGGTCGCGGCGTCAAAGTCCAACCAGGTATGCAACTGATCGAAGGTGCCACTGGTCCAGATCAGACACCTGGGGGAATCTCCATCCCGCCCGCGACTTCGTGGCGACGGCCGGGTGCGGACACTACACCTCAGCGGCGAAACACCACCCGCAGCGTGCGCCATCACTCAAACAAGTACGCAGTCCCGGCTTCTGCTGAAGAGAGCCCGGCACTCCCCGCCGGCAAGTTCACCGCCAACAGCCTGCTGGCACATTCGGCCAGCACGGCTAGTCATCGGAATCCGCGTACCGGACATGGCGTCGCAACGGGTGACCGCAATGCCACACGGCCGTTGCTGGACATGTCCCCGGAAAACCCCTTTGCAGATGGTAGTCTGCTTAGGCAGCTGTAGTTGTGTTTGATTTGATTTATCTTTCTGTTATTTCTGATGTTTGTTGTTACGATGATCATGACTGTTATTTCGCGGGATTCTGTTTTGGTACACCTAAGGTTTATTTACTTGGTCCATTGGCTCCTCACACTGCGACACTGCAAGGTTGAGTCCAATGTGGTCAGTGTTGATGCATTCTGTGTCTTTTGATCTAGAGATGAATTATTGATAGCCGGTCGTGCTTGACAGACGATTCATCTTTATTAGAGATACCCATTCTATGTTTATTTAGCAATGAAGTGAAATTGAATATCTATCTCTTGACATTTATTTTGACATTATTTCTGAACTCATTTCTCACTGCGATCCAGTGCTTTCCTGCTATCTCTCTTATTTTGTACTGAAGTCTTTAAGAATGGGTTATCACACCATCTGACTTGCTGTGACCTCGCTGCGCCAAAAACCATCCACCCAATTGACCCGCTTCGTCCAACGCATAAAAGGACCATTGTTCTGATCAAACCCCCCGAAGACCATTCTAACTTTACCCATTACCACAAAATCTTCCGCAGAACGCAGTTTTCCACAGCAATGAATCAAGAGTCTACTAGCCAACCGCGCGAGGAGCATACATCTCCAGGCAGTTTGAACTGCAACCAGGGGAGGATATGTGCCTTGATCCAAACCAGTGATGGAGAGAGACACTATTTCTCCGGCACTGTGAGCACTGATCTACGTCTCATCGCCAACAATGCTCAAGTGGTGTACTTCGATCTCGCCGAAGATAAACCCTACTGCCAAGAGTTCAAGGCAATGATTGGCCCCGTTCACGCTAACTTCTGGTGGCAAGGAGGGGCTATACACCTCTCTGGAACATTACTGCACCGCATCGATGACACAATCGAAGCCTTCGGTGAAGGGTGGTGGGGTGATATTGATAATAAGGAGTATGAGGAGAATGGCGAGGAGCGTTACAGTGATGAGAGCGATGATCCGAGAGCGTGAGCTTTATGGCGAGTTTCATTTGCGAGATTGTTGGATTACTGCTAATAGAAAGTCCTGCAGATGTTTGCTGAAGGATTTGGGAGAGATGATATGCTCGTGATATCTGATGGGATAGATATGAATCCCTGGTGAGGAGTTTCAAGTGGATTTGGGTTATTTTTGGGTTGCAAATCGTTAGGATCTCGTACACTTGGACATAACATGCGTTACTGAGTCAATTATCTGGCTCTATTTGACTCTCCTTGCGTCTGAGGCGATATTTTATGTGCGTGCATCAGACATGTGTCTGATATTTAGCCACGACTACCCCATCGCTAACCCCAGGACTCAAGTATCTCTGGTGTTTCCCCAGCTTCCTGATGAAATAGCACTTCACTACTCAGACTGAAAATACAAACCTCATAAAAAAAAAACAGGTCTTCATTTGTCTATTCATAGGCCGCCACGGATAACCAAACTCCATAGCGTGAGCAAAGTCTACATCGACTTCCCCGGGTATATCCCAATATCGAACTCCTTTAGCAAAAGCCCATAAAACACAAAAAGACACACACGCTCGAACGAGAAACATTCCTCTTGTCTCAGATCGATCCAATCATCTTACGTAGCAAATAGCAAAAGAAGCACAAAAAGAAACCCCTAGCCTTCAACCATCTCTTCAACCTCAAGAAGCACGATAAACCTTGAAACTATTGAACTCCCAATAAGCATCAACAAAACTGCCAGGACTGCTAGCAACAAAGCCCGAACAAGTCGCCGGACAATGATACAAATCATCATAATACTGCTTCTGACCAGCAAGCTCACCACAGAGATCAATATTGACAATGATACTAAGGTTTTTGAAATGCGACGCAATGTCACAGCTGGTACTCGGGAAATCCGCTAGCGCAATCCCCCAGGTACTCGGATCAGGATACCCCGCCGTGATATCAGCAGGGACATTTCCACTGGGGAAGAACCAAGCCCGAATACCCGCATCACGGAGTTCAAGTGCATAAACACCACCACCACGATTATTCATTGCCTCGCCGTAACTATTCTCATCACCGATGACAGCGCAGCCAGAATTCCCGTCCGTGGCATTATCGCAGTTCTTAAAGATAGCCTGGCCGGTTTGTTTCCGCTTGACGTCCATATGACATCCCTTGGTAGTATGAATGGAGATTTCATTCCCATGGCTTCCAACATTTGTAGTTTCAAGAACATCGATCTCGCCATTCGTCGGCCAGTTATAACCATCTGTCAACCACAGAGCAGGCCAGGTTGCACAGCCGAAGGGAGTATGAATGATATCAAAGACGAAGAGGCCTGAATCATATGTATTTCTCGACTCAACACGGACAGAGTTTCGACCGGAGCGGGCATTCGGCGTTGAAGCGTCGACGCGCAGGATGGCCGATGATTCGGATGCATATGTGAGGTTTAGATGTCTTGCCGTTGATTCGTTGACGTAGACGACGAAGCCCTTTGTTGGGTCCTCGTCTGTGAAATAGGTGAATTGGTCGAAGAAGGTTGGACCGGAGTAGTCGTCTATGAGGGTGTACTTCAAGGGAGTGTAGTTTGGGTAGCGGTTTTGGATTACCTCGAGAGGGATTAGGATTGCAGCCAATACGGTTACAATGGTTGTTCCGGCGACGATGAGTTTCTTGCGCAGGGACCAGCCTTGTGGGTTATACCAGGGAGTTTGGGCTGGGGCGTCTCTGTCTCTTTCTGGTTGGCTGAAGGTTGCGATTGGGGATTTGGTTTCGAGAGTGGGGATACTCGAGTTGGCCCCGCTGTATCGATTTAGATATGGTAGTTGGCGGTTTTCCATGGTGCTAGTTGATATAGTTGAGATAAAAGAGTCTCTAGTGGGTATGTTCTATGTTCTACGTAATTACAGCATTGTGATGTTAAAAAAAACTGTCTAAGTTTGTCGTCATGGATATCTACTCTGTCCTATAATGGGAAAGCGCCGATCTTTCCCGCTTACGGACCCACGGATCACCTCGCTATAAATAACCTAGTCTATTTTCTCGTCGCCTTATATCGACTAGGACTAGCAAGGTTCAGGTACACATAAACGATCTCTACCTTTCCCTTTTTATGAAATTCCGATGAACTAATCGGTGATATTAGTCAAATGGCGCCCCTGCAATGAGGTAATAAATGCGGGACATGAATACTTGAACTTGTCATTTTTTTACGAAAGTGGAAGGATGCAAGTCCAATCGTTCTATAAGTATGTGTACAATGTAATTAAAATTGAACCACCAGGGTACGTATGTAGAGCGCCAAGCCTCTATAGCTATAGACAAAAATCTCACAGGTCCCGCCCATATTCTACCGATTGGATCGGACAGTCGAAGAACGATGCACCAAAGAGTCTGCATTCGGAGAAGGCTGAGTCTGCCAGTCGTGTGTTTCCATACCCGAAGATAGACCGGCATCGTTTCTCGCCTGAGACAAGGTACGCGATTGCGATTGGGCGAAAGATCCACCGCCACTGAGGTTGGATGCGCGGCGACGCATGCGGCGCTCTCCCTCTTCGGCCTCATGGCGATTGAGGGCGTCGGAGGGAAGAAGGACGGCGCGATCAAGTGCGTAAGGTAGACCACGGTGGCGACCACGGACTTGCATGGCAATGATCACCAGCTTGGAGACTACATTAAACTGCGCCGAGAAGGAGGTGTTGACATTTGTGTATCCAAACGAAAGACCCACAGTACCGTATGCCGAGACAACTTCAAACAAAACAGTGAACAGCTGGAACGCGTTGTCGTTCTCGTTCTGCAACTTTGATCCCTCCGCAATGGCGATGATAAACAGACCCAAAAAGACATACCACAAATCGAAACTCAGTTGGCGTCGTAAGTGAGCTCCGATATAGGTGGGGGCATTTGAATCTTCATCGTGGTCCTCGTCTGTGGCATCGTAAATTCCCAAACTCTTCTCTTCGTAAACGTTGGTTCGACGCATAGATATAGCAATTGGAAAGACTGAGATATACATCATGACCAAGTAGGAAACCTGGATGGCGGGGTGAAGTTCTGAAAGACTGATGATTCCAAAGCCAGCTGTTCGTGTCGCAGCAGCTTGGAAGAAGCCGTCCACGACTCGAATACCGGGTGGTAGTGCAGTGACGGCAGAATCGTTGAGCTACAGAATCATGGTCAGTGAAAAACGCGGAAAGGAAGAGATATCCAAAACTCACATCTAGGATGACAAAGAAAATCATATCAATGCCGTTCAATGCGACGAGAATCGCAAACAACCACCAAGTGGCATTGCGAGGGAACAATAGAGTGAAGCATCGACGGGGATGATCCAGAAGAAACTTCAGCTCTTCCCATAGCGCAGTGCCCTGGCGGGTGAATTTCGAAAGAACCCAGATCATCAAACGAAGCATGCAGGGGAAGGCGGTATTGCCAATGATAATTAAAAACGCTAGCATCAGCAAAGGGAAAACGGCCCTCTGGAAGGAGTACATCGAGTCAGGTGTCAAGGTGAAACCCAAATCGTTGAAAGCAGACGCAGCGGTAAATATTCCCCACCACGGCCGCCCAACCCCATCAGCCCGGACGACATCGCCCCATGTGTTCTCTGTCATGATCCAACCGATCATGCTAATCATGCCGATGAGATGGAAACCGAGATAGTAGGTGATAAGGACGACGGCCAGCGTCTTGAGCGCACGGTATTCGATACCACCCAACTCATCACGCTGCTCCTCGGTCAAATCGACGAAATTGGAGTTACGAGCCACTGTCGCATTCCAACTGAGATATGGTTGAGTATTAAGGTCACGCTCTTGTGTCAGAGATCGGAACACCCCCCTGAAGGTGTTCCTCGTATTAGTAGGGGCAAGAGTGGTAGTCTCATTCCCATCTTTAGTCTCCCGGAAAGTGGGTCGAGTTTCCAGACGAGGGAACGTATTCCCACGTCCACGAGTTCGTGAAATATCGGGTTCGTTGATGGTGATGTGTGGTCCTTCAAGTGGACCAATCTGATCGAGCTCCTCAGGGTGTGCACCGGGGCTCTGTTGGTCGTCCTGGTCGTCATGGTCACTGGAGTGTTGAGCCTGCTCGCCCTCCTGGTCCACGTCTTCTTCCAAAGCCTCAGGCGCACCACCACGGTCATACTCCCTGGGACTCGGAATGCGCAGAGCTCCTTTATCCTTCCGCTGCTTTTCTAAGAAGGCGATGTGGTGTTCGGGGTTCAAATGAGTTGGCACCTTCAAGCTACCGAGGCCAAAACGAGGTTCGTTGCTCGTGTCTGTTCCCTCGGAGCTGGAGTCGACACTGCTCTCTCGGGCTTCTGGTGTGTTGATGCCTGAATGGATGGTCTTGCTACCCGGATCTGTCAACCGACCGTCTCGGGCATCCCCTGAATCGTCCCGTATCACCACAATGGGTCGACCGCTAACTCCAAGCTCTGCGCGGTTTATATTGATATCCCCGCTGTCCCCATCATCGGTCACCGTTTCCATGCGGGATCGGGTCCGTCGCATCGCACGAGCGTCTCGAACTACATGTTGGAAGCGCTTCTCGAACCAATATAATCGAATAAACACCAGGGCGCTGTGGATGAAGATCGGCGTGCACAGGCATGTGATCAAGTATAGGACGATTTGTTGATATAGCCAAAGGCGATTTATATCGACGGTGTTTAACCCGCTCTGGGTGGCGGCGCCGGCGGATTGGAAGAGGGCATCGATATAGCTAATGTTGCCACCGGGGTAAAGGATAATGGATCCGATGATAGCCCAGGCCATGATGTAGGCATAGTGGAGGAAGATGAAATTGAGGTGCAGTTCGTTTAGAAACGGGACCTTCTCCTTGTAGGTTGTCGCCCGGCGAAGAAATGCCGAGAACATATTGAACGGACTGCGCCCAGGTGACCGTCGTTGCCGAGCGGAGACCACTGGCACTGGCCGCAGAGGGGGGGATGTCGAGATGGGTTGTTCTCGAAAGGAGGGGAATTTTTCAAACCTATTGCATTATTAGCTTGGTACATCTCTTGTTTTTTGTTTTTCTTTTCGCGCGGCATACATGTGGTCCCGTCGATCGCTACCGAGCGGAGAGTTTTGACTCGTGCAGGAAGAGACCACGGGGGGACGCCGCGCTTAGCCGCGTGGCATTGAGCCACAATTGTGCGTAGAGGTGATCGAGGGCATAACGGGGGGGAAAAGGTGAGAAGAGAGGAATGGGAGAAACAAAGGGTAGGAAATAAGACTCGAAAAAAGAAAGAAAAACGTAAAAAAAGCTGCGATAGGAAAATCACGCATGCGGGAAGATTACATTACGGTATGGTATTGTCAACTGCCACAGAAAACGTGGTCTGTCGATCCCTTTTGTCGTGTTTCATCGGGTTTTGTGGCGAAGCAAAGTGTAATTCTTTTAGGTTTGGGTGTATTTATGTAAATACAGAGGTGTTCAAACCTTCCAAGGTTGGAGGGTTAATGAATTGAGTAATAATATACTCCTTCCAAGGTTATATGTGCAATAGAAGAAAACAAAACATCTTATAATAAAATATGAAATATAAAATATGAAATATAAAATAAAAATATAAAATAATATAAAAATATAATAAAGAGCTACAGTGGATTCTTCCCTTGGCACTTCATTCTCGATAAGGTTTCCAAGGTTTATTTTGAAAAGATTCGGGATTCACTACGGAGTACTCGGCCTTGCCGAATGTACGATCTACCTAAGTAGGGATATCCCTGAGTTGCATATGCACATGCACAGTCTAGGTTAACATGTGAAGATGACTTTATCCTAGCACCCTATACATCTTAAAACCTGATACTGGTCCATCTTAAAATTATACAGCTGCCTAATACTCAATAAGGGATGTTCTAGATTGGCCCACTTTTCATTCCGGCTATGCCGTGGCCCGTTCCTAGCAGAATTACCCCTATGCTGTTAGGGCTGCCGAAATATCACTATGTACTGCTTCTTATTGGCCTATTGCGACCTGCATTCTCCATCTTCGATAGGACAGCCGCCCTATGTTGTATACTCCGTACTTGGCACCGGAAGGGTATTGCGTTTTCTCCAATTATCTTTTCGACATGTCTCACGCCTGCTTACTTACATTCTTACCGAAACCTGCCGACGGGAGATTGAAGAAACCCGAGAGATCTCAGAAATGCGAGGGGCACATATATACCTATAAAATAGGAGAGATTAGGCGGCACGGGCGGCCCGACATTCTTCACTTGAAGGGATGATCTTTTGTAGATACTACAGTATGCCCGGAGTATCTCCAGGTCATTCCTTACTCCATAGTGGAAGATACCACAATTAGCTGCCAAGATAGTAGCATAACGTTCCCTTTCACAAAGATCAGAACTTTTAAATCTCCTAGGGCTAGCATTCTTACCCGGCTATTCTAGAATTGTGCGAAGATCTGGCGGATTTCAAATTAAACCTCGACATCAGCTTCACTCGAGGCAAACTTGTCTTGTTCTGCGAATTTTCCATTATTGACAGGTGTTTACTTTCTAATATGTCTGATAGTCACCGTGTCTATCAGTTACCACCTAGGTAGTAGATGCTACAAATAAATAAATAAATATATATCTCTCTCTCCTCTACTCACCGACATTGTCTCTCTTTACAAGATTGTATTCTATCTGGATACCCTAGTGATGTTTTGTTTGGTATAAACATCCAACCTATCAAAAGTGCTCTGATTTCCAAGCCTCCAGCGAACTGATCTCTTCAATACATGTGTCCCCTTTGATTGGGCAGCAATGTCATAGGAGCGGCGGAAAGGTGCAGGCGGGGCAAGGGAGCATGATCAGCCTCCACTAGTCTCTAAACG